AAAAAACGATTTCATCATAAAAAAATTTCACAGAACAAAATCATACTTTCACTGGCTTGTTCACTTCCAACCGTGACATGGAGATGTTGTTTTTAACTGATTGCAATTTAGTTACAGATGCGGGTTTTTCGGTAGAGGGCAATTCTGCTGTCTTCTGACCAGTTAATGATCCTTTGGAATATACCTGCAAACACACGATAAACTTGAGCTTCCGCACTTGGAGTGAGTTTCAGTTGAGTGGGGCTCACTTTAAATTTGCTTCCCTTGAGTAGCTTCGGTTTCGGGGTCAGAAAGGGCAGATCATGCAGCTGCTGCAACGCAATTTCCCGTTCTAGGTTCTTCAAATTTGTTTCATCGGTTAAAGTGGTTTCTTTGTCCTGAACTTTTTCCGATACAATCGTAGTTGGATCTGGATCGCCGTCACCTGCACAGGATTTTTCGCATCGCAGATTTAACCGAAAATAGCATCTTACCTTCTAAAATCGCCAATAGATCAATGTTGTCCAGGGATGCTTTCGGTTCTGGGCCAGAGGCGTTTTTGTCAACCTCCAAGTCACTTTCCTAAAAAATTGGGATGTTAATCAAGTTTTCAACAAATCGGCTGCAATCTACTTGGGAAACAGGCTCTTCCTGCGTCTTTGCAATTTTGCTGGTCTTCGCAGATTCATCAGCTTCAACAATTCTCTTAGCTAGTCTTGATGTGAGTTGCTGCGCAAAAGTTGCATCTGCAAACCGGGACAAAAACGTTTTTTTTGGGCAACTAGTTTGGGGGCAAACTACCTTTCTTCTCGGTGCGCTTTTTCTTGCCCCTTTCCAGTATTTCCTCCTCGATTTCCTTTTTCGAAACAATCTGGCTGGTCAAGTTGCGATAAGGCACCCGCACGCCCACCCTTAAAACACTGTAATTGAGAAAAGCTTGTCATTTTCCACACGTTTTCATACCTGGGTTTGGGGGATTTTCCGTTGAGAACGTTATCCATAGGTTTATTGACGTCGTGCCCCAAGATATGCAAGGGAATGTCCGTTTTCAATTTGCGGCCCCTGGGCCGAGGCGAGGGTTTCTCCGAAACAGTCGCTTCCTTAAAAAAATATGCTTGCAAGAAAATGTCCAGGCAAATAATTTAAGTAGAACTTACCTCTTCTTTGACTTTAGTTACAGCTATTTCTTCTAAGATTTCTATCTCTTCGTCCTCTATTTTATGTTCCAGCGTTATGATTTCTAAATAAGCACATAGAAACACGTCAATGTAGAAGACGCTCTAGTCGTTCACCAATAACATACCTTCCCCGCTCGTTTGGAAACTGTCCGAATCGTCAATTTTTGGCTTGTCTTCATCCACAGATTCGTCCAACTGAACTTCAATGGCCGGATTGGACTTCAGACTTTGTATATGTGTTTCGTCTGCAATTGCGAAAATTTTCCAAATAAATCAGTTTACAGTAGATCGGCAATTCAAAGCACCTTCATCCATTGCACTTGGTTCCTCTTTTGCATCGGAAACTTCCAAGTTTGGCTGGCTGTTTTCAGAGGACTTATCAGAAACGGGTTCAACAGTCACTTGAGGTTCTGTTTGTCCTTCGGCAGCCTCTTGCTCATTGAGCTGGTGAGGCGTTTGTAGACCAGGAGCAGTCGAATCGCCTTTAACGGGGGTTGAGGACCCATCGGGCTGATGTTCATCGCTCATCTGTCCATCAGCGTCCTAAACAGAGAGTGAATAGGAAAGATAAAGGCAAAATCTTTGGAAATACCTCTACAGGGCGCGAATATTCGCAGCTGATCGATTGCGATTCAACAGAATAAATTTGCCCGACATTTGGAACGGGTTCTGCCGATTCAGGCCCATATTCGGCAGGTTCAAGCACAAAGGAGTTGCTCGGCTGGAAATACATAAAGTGCGGTTTGAGAGGAGTTTAAAGACAACTAAAAGATTTCTTATTTGGCATGCGGTTTTGTTTGATGTACTTTTCAAATCTTATTTAGCGCCGAGCCTGAGGCGAGGCAAAATAATTTTGATGTTTTGCCAAAAAAAATTGCAGCAGATCAGGCTCGGCTCGTTAGGCATTAACTTTCGCTACTTTGCTCAATTTTAATTAATCGATTGCATGACAGTAAGTGGTAAGAACCCGGTCTATTGTCATAATGTGTATTTGTTAAATGCTGTGTACCAAACGATTCTTAAGGAAGTTAATTAAGCAGGATTTTTGTTAGTAGCAACGACTTCTAGAGCGTACTGAAAGCACGTTTGTAGAGCTAATCGGGATGTTCACGAGAACTTTCATAAAGCAACGGCAGAAGAGGGCAACATATTGGAAAAAGCGCGATGATCAAGCAAAAACACTAGCAAATATAGGGGGATTTGCATGATTTATTTGGACCCATTGTCGTACAAATGTGCTTCTTTATCACATTTCAGCGTTGGGCTGAACGTTTTCGGATAAAAATAATTTGTAATGCAATGTAAGTCTGAATAAACCATCCAATCTCCACATTGGCGTCTGAATATTGGGTTCTGTGGGTTGTTCAGAGAAGAACTTTGGAAAAGTGCTTAGTTTAATAAATAATTTGTCTATTGAGGCACTTACATTTTGAACAAAGTCAGTATTAACGGACACTACATGTCCAGTACCCTCGGGATACTGTTGTTCAAATTGAAAATCGACCTGATGTATGTTTACTGTTTGGGGTGCAGTAACATGATGGGAATTATAGTGCTAAAATGAAAACAATGATAGAAGTGACATGAAGAAACTAAACGGTAAAACTGAGTTAATAAACCAAACCAGAAGCATCGTTGGATGAGTGTTTTATGGATGAGTATTGTGGTTTAGTTACTTGGGCGTTTAAGTCCATAGTGGAAGTGTTGTGGTCCTCGTCGGCCGGTATCAATTGGCCCTCAGTCGTATATATATATTTGGTGCCCAGGTTTTTCTCATTCAAGTTGGCATCTGCATATGAATCCCCATTGGGCTCCACCACTGTAAGAGCGCTCTCCTCTGAGGCTTGCATCCTCACTAACCTATAAATTCGATCAATGCACCTTGAAGCCTTTCGAAATAACGCCAATAGATCCACTTAATCTTATCGTAGCAGCTAACTAAAGTCTACTACGTTAAATAGCGCTTTATTAGATAATGGCTGTTCCATGCAGCGCTCTCAGGCCTGCCGACTAGTGAGTGTATTTGCATCTCCCAGAAAGTAGGGCTGAGTGTATATGTTTATAACATTAAGAACGTCGAGCATAACATGAAATTGCTAACAGAAACAGGAGCATCACATGAATGTAAACATACCAACGGAATAAATATCTGGGAAATCTACCTCGTTGCCGACAACGCAATGTCGCAAAACTGTTCTTGCGACTAATGTTAAGTGTTCAACTATATGGGGCTCCTAACACTTTAACACAATCGATCACTTTCAGCATGAAAAAGCCATAATTTGCCCAAAAAGCATGGGAAATTAACTACAGGGGCTAGAGATCATAACAAACGTCGCCATGTCCATACGTCACCTACAAGTGCAACCAACCTTACGCCACAAAATATCCCCCCTTACCTGCCTGCAAATTTAAATGTTCCTAAATAGGTAGTGATAGGCACAGAACATGCCCCATAGGGGGATATTTTGTGGTGATAGGCGGGTCGGAACTGACCGAAAAAACTTTGAAACTTACAAAAACTTAAGTTAATTAAATTTAATAAAATGAAAAATACGGCTACTTATTTTTTAGACTGATTTGCGCAGGCGTTTGTGTCAAAATAGCGCAAACTATAATACTGCATGAACGTATTGGCCGGCCGATAACTCTCGATTGTTCTGCGTTCAAAAACGCTGCCATAAAATCAGTCTTTATCTATAAATAAAAATAAAATAAGCCTTGTTCTATGGTCTTGAGGCCAATGAGAACATGCAAATCAGGCTTAAATTAAACATAAAACAACAGCACTAAGAACCGCTTTTTATTGATTATCCGACCATAGTCCGCTTTCGTCCTCTCGCTCGCACTTCTTCATACTTGCAAAAAACCTCCCTAAACCCGTTTTTGTAGCTCTGCTTGTACCCTTCCAGTATGCTGGGAAAAATCGCCTCTGCCACTGCATGAGTACTAAGGAGGGCTCGTTCCAGAACATACAGATCCACCCCTTTGTCCTCCGCGCAGGGCTCGATGTGGGCCAGCCCGAAATCGATCAAAACCAGCTTCAGCTCCTGCAGGTCCTCAAAACAGTCCTTGTTGCTGGTGTTGACCAGCAGAATGTTGGAAGAAGTGAGATCCCCATGAATGATACTGCCTGCATGCATTTTGCCCAGCGTTTTCCCTATCAGCACTGACAACTCCAGCAGCGTATCCAGGCAGGTCTGCTCTATGAAGTCCTTCAACGTTATGCTATGCACGAAGTGCTCCATAAAAATCATTCTTGTGTGGAAGTCCACGTTTAGGAGCATGGGGGTTGCGATTCCAACAGTTTTGCATCTTACCAGCGCTTTGGCTTCTGCCCGCATTCGCTCCTTGGTTAGCGAGTCGTCCAGATGCTTGTGCCTGTAGGTTTTGACAAACCTTTCTTTGATAATTGTGGGGACTCCCAAGTAGACGCCTTGGTATAACTTGGCCTCAGCCCCTTGTTTTATCAACTTGAAGCCTTCCATGCTTTTCTGGATAGTTGAGCAAAAGGGTGCTTGCGAACATCAAGTGGTGTGGATTCTAATGGTTTTTTTGGTGAAAAGCTTTAAAGGAAAGTCCATCGATTTATTTTATCTACTTGAACTTGAATAGTTAGGTTATTTTATGTTAGTAACAGTCAGGGCCACAGATGATACTCTGTGATCTGTGGTAATATCCGACGTGTGTCATCGCTGTCATCGTCTTGACTGAAGGCCGCTTAAAAAGTTCGAAAAGCCCAAATTACCACAGTTTTCTTAACAGGAAAACTTGAGTTTTCCGTCACTTTAATGCTGCGAGCAGAAGAAAGTGATAACAAAGCATGAACTGGGCTGAATATAGACCTGCCATTTAGGCATGTTTTAAAAATAGGTAGGTGTATTGAATATTGAATTTTTGCCCCATTTTTAAACTGTTGGCAAAAATTAGACTTTAGTCCGATTGAAGTAGAAATTTAAGCGCTTTGAACCACATGAGTCTTCTATGGGGTGTGAAGTTGCTACTTGCTCCAAATGGGAAGTTATGAGTTTTTAAAGGAAAGCATGCAGTTAAGTAAAAGTGGGAACTTTCCGTCGCTCTTCATAGTGCAATCAAAGTGAAACCAAGGGCGGATCCAGGGGGGGTCATGGGGCTCATAACCCTCCCCCCCCATTCAATTCTCTATCCAACAATGCCGAAATATTTTCCTCCGAGAAATGAGCAAAAATGGGCCGGAAAACATGGAATTTTGGCATAATCTTGCACCTAAGTGTCTGATATTCAAATTTCGGTTTCTGGGCCAAAACTATTCGAATTTCCTCACTCACGACTCACACAGCGACGTTTGTTTATCTTTTTACTCGCGAAAGAAACTTTGTTTACTCTGAACATCCAAACCAGTTCGATCGTGAACTGGAAATGTCCACAAAACCGTCAATAAGAAAAAAACTGAAATCGAACAGCGTAGCAATACAGTGAGTCACCCAAAGGGCCAGCGAGCAAAAGATTATATCATTATGTGAGCTCGGTGCGTTTTTTTCTGTGATAAACACCTTAGATTCGCATGAGTTTTATCGGATAGCTCAGTCTATTATGGGCAAGGGAGTAAATCGGTCGTCCGTTCTTTGTTCATAAAGGGGATAAAAGTGCGAATTTAGTGCCATTTAGGCACGAACGGTCGGCCATCTTACCTGTTTACTGTTAATTGCTGATTATAATCCACATTTATATTCAACTTTGTGTGGATTTTCATTGTGTATTCGTGTAGTGTGTGCTTTCTCATGGATAGATAGTGGAGAATCGGGCTTCAGTTAGCAAAAAGCAGACAAGAAGTATTGAACTGGGCGGAGTTTTAGTTTTATTCAGTTTCCTATTTATTTTTGTTTTCAATCAAATCGCTGGGTCTTCGACTAAGTTTATGTAATAAAACATATTTTTCTTTTTTTTTTAGGTGCAGCTTTCGGTAAGTTTAGCATTAGGTACTTTTACCGTGAGTGATCCTGCCCAAACCAATTAAATTTTGCACTGGTCTGGTTTGATCCGTCCGAATAATTGCATTTTTTTATTGTTTATTGCTATTTATTGCACGTTAAAACGTTAGTGCCCGTTAGTTAAGGTGCCCGTTATTTTTTGAGCGAAAATAATTATAAAACTCGTTTGTTTGTCTGACATTGTGTACTAAAATCTGCTGATTTTTTAAATATTTTTTCTATTTTCTGCTGGTAATTTTTGGGCGACGGCTCAGCACTTAGCTTCCCCTTCACCAAAGTGCGCCGTTTGTCACTTGTTCCAAGATCTATGCCTATTGCACAGATCACAGAGTAACCTCTGTGATCTGTGGATTATTGAGAGGTTACATTGTTTGTATCTTGTGTACTTTGACGTTTTTATGTGTTCATTTATCATTTTCTATTTAAAAGGAATATAAAGTATATTCGACTTCGTATTGTATACCCAAAGTGATACAGCATGAAAGTGGAGAATTTGAAGATTATCGTTTTTGATTTAGGTGAGTTTTCCAAATATTTGTGTAATACGGGGCTCATACACTACGTTATTAATAAACACCAGATATTTATTTATTCTTGAGTGCGCAAATTTAAATTTCGGGACTGTTTATGCTGAGCTTTTATTAATATTTACTTTGTGGCTTAAGTGCATTAAATTGCCAACAGCCGGGGCACTTCGAAAAGGTGTTAAGGTTTAAGAAACATTTGAATAGATGTTTTGTGAAACTGCGTATGAAAATGCCAAAAATTCCTTTTTTAATCGAATGAATCTAAAACTGCCATTTTTCGATCAGAAGCGATGATCAAAATGAAACACTTTTCTCTACTGTTCATTTGTTTTACTTCTACGCATATGTGCGCAAAAGTAAATGTGACAGATTGTACTTGTCACTGTCATAATATTTTTTAAAGTATTTTCATTAAAAAGTAACCGACAGGCTTGTTTAGTGAATTTCGTAAGTATCTATCTATTCATCATAATTTAAAGTTTACTTACATTTTGTAAATTATAACTTTGATAAGAGTCTATTTTTTGCACTCGCCGATGTTGCCACAGGCAAAGCACGATTTTTTAAATAGCGCAAGTTTCTTGCAAAATATTCAACTGACACAAACACTGAAAAATTACAAACGTCAAAACATGACAATTTGAAAAATGGCATTGACATCAAATGTTAAATATGATGTTGACGGCTGTTATTTTTATTTATTATAACTTATGAGTCCGGTTATGTCTTTCAATCGCATAAAAAATATTGTTACTTCTACTATTAGCAAGTCGCTACTGCATAATCCTTAGCGCTACAGTGTAACACATTTTTGCTCAGTTTGGTGAACGGAACTCGAATCGATTGGCAAATATATCAGAGCAATGAAGGTGAGGAGTTTCCCAATTGCAAAGGTTTCTTTTGGTGCTTATGGTTTTTTTGCTTTGTTGCTTCTAAACGTTTGTTCCCGACATTTTCACTTTTAAACTGCATTTAATCGAGTTAAACCCAAGATATTTAGGCCTGCGAAGGCTTAAATAAATCAATAAATCACAGCCGTTTGTTTCCACACAGATCCAAACACTTTACACAACACAATTTAAATTCCGTTTTCATTGATAAATCTTTCGCATTTTTTTACTGTGTGTGTTTTATCACTTATGTAACAGGCAAATTATCCTTTTGCAGATTATACACTTTGGCCCTTCTGGATCGATACCCATGTTTCGCCCCCATTTAAAAAGTATGTAAATATGAGCACCTCACATTGATTTGTATAGATTGAAAAGAACCGATTTAAAACCTTCAACACGCATAAGTGCGTTGTGTCTCAATAATTGAACTCTATTTCAAGACAATCCTCCAATCGGATAGTCGATAATTATGGCGCCAAAGTGAAATATTACCCCGAAGTTCCGGAGATTTTAAAAAACTTACAAAACCAGGGTTATGAGCTGGGCATCGCCTCGAGAACATCGGAAATTCAGGGCGCTAAACAATTACTTAATCTGCTTGGATGGGACAAGTATTTTACCTACTGGGAAATTTTCCCCGGTAGCAAAGTCACTCACTTCAATAAGTAAGTGTATGAATCGCAAATCGTTCTCATTTGCACTTTTTCACGCACACATTTTGCACTTTTTCATTCGTCAGTTTTCATTTCCTAGATAATGTGTTTGTTTATTTCGCAGCATCAAAAAGCAGTCCAATTGCCACTTTGAGGAAATGCTTTTTTTCGACGATGAAAATCGCAATATCACCGACATCACTCGGTTAGGAGTAGTTTCGATATTGGTAAAGAACGGCGTTAGTAAAAGTGTGGTGGAGAATGGCATTCAAAAGTATATCGAGGCGAGAAAATAAACAAGTTGCAAACAAAAGGTTTTTCATTAAAGCCATTTAATCGAGTCTGCTGTTTCCGAAAACAGACATTTTTTGATAGTGAGAAAAGCACAAGTAACCAGTAAAAAAAGCTTTATGCACACAATTAATAAAACACAATATCGCATTCACAAAATAACCTTAATAATCTTTTTGTACAATGTATACAATTCCTTATTGAAAAATACAATTCACGATCACAATCAGTGCCTTTCGGCAGGTATTTTCTGTCCGGGAGTAAGAAATTGCCGGAAGCTTTTGATGAGCAGATCAATTAAGTTTAAGGCAAATGTTTTTCAATCGTCAACACCTTACACCGGGACACGCAAGCGGACTTAACACTAATTTTACCAAAGACTAGTTAAATATTCCAAGTTAAACACGTTATGGACGTTAACAAATAGGCACGTGCTGCTATTAGTTTAATCAAAGTAGTTCATCCAAAGCACCGACTTTTCGTATAAATATGATTGGACGAAGCAACAAACATTCTATTTCTTAAATATTCAGTACCCTGGGTCTAAATCTAGCAGATAAAGTGACAAAACGGAGTTTAATAAATAAAAATATCTACATATTATTCTATTTATCTGGAGTAGTTTTTTCAATAGGAGTCAGCATCAATCCCTTTGCAAGCATTTGTTCTTCCAAGTCTTTGTCTTCATGTGAGTATCTGCGAAAAAACCCTATTAACACCAGGGAAACGTTCATGGCACTTCTTCATTTACCTCAACCTATCCGCTTCAAGCACAGCAATTAAGGCGTCTCGCTTGGCGACAATGTCCATCATTTCATTGATAATGCTTTGTTCAGATTTCAAGTCTTCCTCGGTTTTATGTTCTTCTAAAAAAACCCAGTTTCATAATGCGATTTTACTCAAAAAAAGCTTCTTACTGATCCCTATGCGTTCTCGAAGCTCCAATTGAAGCCTGGAGTGCCGGTCCTCCAGCTCTACCTCTTGGGCGCGCACCATCAGCTCCTTTTCATAGCGCCTCAATTCAGTCCTATCTCTCATTAAGTCAAACCACTCCTAAAGGACGGTAAATAAGAGTTAAGACTGGAAAGTTCTTGTAAAGCTCAAAATCCAAAGGTTCCAAGGAAATCAATTTATCATTTCCTGAAGTTTCTCAAGCACGAGTGCTGTGCGGCACAAACTATCTGTGAAGATGCGAAACAGTCGTGCTTGCGAATCGTTTCTTCGACGGCCTGAGAACCGACTCTCGAAGAGCCCAGAAACGACATGTTTCACTCAAACTGTTACCTGGAGCAGATCGCTTTCGTCCTTTACATTCACGCCTCCATCTTCACCCCGCAGAGCCTTCTCTATCTCCACACCCCGTTGCTCTAATTCGCGGGTTTTCACCTCTGTCTCCTCCAGCTTGCGCTGAATCTCTTGGGCCATTCTGTGCCTGCGTTTCACAGTCGGGAAAGTTATGGAACGTTCGGCTTGAAAGTTTCTACGATTAGTTACCGTTTGAGTTGAGCTTGCCTGGAAACTCGTCGCGCTTTGCCGCTCTTCTTGCCCGCTGTGGAGGCATCCGCATTCCCCGATTGGTCCACTGTATCGCAAGAGCTGCGATCTTGCATTTTGCTTTCGACAACCTCCCCATCGCTGCTCTCATCTGCTTGTTAGGATCGATATTAATTGGCCAAAGAATTCTGGTTGGGCAAGTTTTTACCTGTTGCTTTCATGGTGTAGTTGGCTGGTAAGGGTGGAATGGGTGGAGGAGTGGGTTCTCGCCGCTTAATGTTCAACTCGGAGAAGCTTTTTCGGGGCTTCGCTTCCTCGATGGCGGTTTCCTAAGGGAAATAGTCGACATCAAAGCCAAAACACACGCAAACATTCCCAACAACTACATGCTGTTTAGGCACAAATTTAAGAAAACCGGGTAAATAGTCATTCTGCATACTCTCAGATGATTGAGCCTGTTCATGCCGGTTTGCTTAAAGGATTTTTTTGGCATCATTGCTAAAGTATTAGTAGCAGCTGGCAATTCTGGCTGAATTATCACTAAGTAAACTGCCCAACAAAATAAAGTTACACCGTGCAAGTTGCCCTAATTTTGGAACTGAAACAGAAATTGTTCCGATAAGTGATTTCGAAGCTTCCAGTGCTTCCAGTTTGTCGGTTTTGAAACTTTTGAGTCCGTTTTTATTTAGGAAATATGCTTGTTGTAATGTAAAAAACGCTAAACGTGTTTTTGTTCAACTGGGAACTTGCCAAACTTTTGAAAATGTTGCCACCAATCCGAGTTTATCCAGTTCCAAAATCAAGGCAAATTTGATCGTGTATCCTTTGGCTCCTTGAGCAATTTGGATCAATTTGCGAAGTTAGTGGGGAGGACAAACGACAAGTGCTTACAAAGACCAAGTACAGCAATATAGTGCGACATAAAGAACGATCAAACAAAACCAAACAAAAAAACCATAACTGAAGTGTTTCTTACGTGTTTGCACAAGTCCAAACTCGTTAAAGACTGAAATAAGAACATCGAAGGTAAAGTCTGTAGGGTTGCAGCGACTAAGAGCAGCAACGCTGACCGCCACTCACCTTTGATTTGTCTTTCGACTTTGGAGACAACTTGGCAAACAGGCCCTTGCTTCCCGTTCCCGAGGGGCTCTTTTTGGAGAAAATCCCCGCTATCAGCTTGGTGATGCTCTTCCGCCTCTCCCTGTCTTTGCTCTTTTTCTTCGACTTTGAGGCGCTCGTGTCCAGTAGATTGGGATCGGACATGCAGATTTTCTTCTTGCTCTCCTCCTGCTCCAGCTGCGCACTTTTGCTCACGCTGAGATTCTTTGGTATTTCGGAAATGGACTTCGGCCGGGCACTCAAACCCTTTTCCACTGCCTTCGCCGCATC